AAAAAAAAAAAAAAAAAAAAAAAAAATTAAAATAAGATAAGTAAAATAAATAAATAAAATAAAATAAAATAAATAAATGTATGGGTTGATTAAAATTTAGTATACTTAAATAGAAACCAACATCTTCGGTTACAAGTGAGCCAATAATAAAAATAGTTATCATTTATGAATTTCGGCAAATTAATTAAGTAAACAATAAATTATACTATCTAATAAATCCCATATAGCTCCAAACCAGAACGAAAAATAATGACTAATAGTTGGTGCTTGCCCCAATTCATCATTTTCACATTGAATGTACATAAATGTATTTCCAATAGCTACAGCACTTGAAATAATGAACCACCAACCTCCCATAGCAGTTACTAAGGTTGAATGATCTGGAGAATAATCCTTTGGATCTTTTTTTTCATCATTAAAAACAAATAAACATAAAATGAAAGCAGGCAAATTTTCAATCGCAAGCAGCATATTCCAACCAAACCACGCACACACGGGTAATGGACATGGATGCGTCACACACTTCAAGTAGCATGGTTTTATGCATCCACAGCATCCAAGCCATTCTTACAGCAACCACATCTGAAACAGCCATCAAGACATTGACAGCAACAACAATCGCCACCACTACTATATCTACAACTATCGGTACCACAACAATGGCCATAGCAACAAAGTAACCACCAGAAACAACTACAACACCCGCATCCACCTTCAATACAACAACTTATCGGTGTAAAGCACATTAATGCTGATGATAAAGAACATAAAATTATTGAAAACCACGTATGTATAAGTCCTCCAGCTGAATTACCACCATGTATCGCAAATATTAAAGGAAGCGTTGCCATTACAAGATAAAAATCTAATTTCTGTCGTTTACCAATATCAAGAAATACCAATACAATATCTATAATAATTATAATAGAATAAAGCGCATACTTCGCAAATAAGCGTTTTTTAGAACCTTTTCTTAACCACACACGTATAGTGCTAATGATTAACATAACTGTCGTTGCCCAAATTCCTAGTACCTGTAATAGATTTATAGGCCTGAAACTACACATAACTTCACGCCATTGTGATCGTGGTGCATCGTATTCTATGTTTCTCGCTTCAATTTCAGTTATATTGTATTGTACATCATTCTCGATTCCTGACGGTATATACATGTTTATGTATTTTTATAAATCTACTCTACAGTATATTGTCCGTATATGTCTTTAAGATTTCTTTTGGCACCCGCTATACAGACTCTTTTTTTTCATTCTTAGCTATTAATTTATATTATATTATTCGGAGTTAATAATACGTTTTCCGTCCAAATTTTATCACATCAAATCTAACCTTTTTTTTTTATTTTTTTCATTGTTTTGTTTCGTGCTAGTTTGTAAGTCGTGCATGCATTAATTTGTGCGAATAATGATGCCAAGAAGATAATAACCTTAAATTTGCTTATCCAAAATCATGTGCACGCATATAAAAACCAATATTTTTCATTAACCATTATCAAACCAAACCTGACCTTAATTAAAAATCTTTATTTTGGCTTATATTATAGGATTTCCATCAAAAGCATAACTACAATGTTCAGTATTAGAATTAAAGCAGGATAGATTGAATTTTAGTGATGTTAGTCATGTGTTCATAACTTTTGCTAATGTTTTGAGTGAATCCCAAAATATTTCATTATTTCATAATACAAATAACTACATATTTTTTTGCAGGTTAAGACAAACACTCTTAATGGTTTTATTGGTTATATTGTGGACGGTAATTAGGATACTGTGCTTTATTCAGTAATATAGTTCTTTCTTTATTTTATTTACTCTAATTCTAGATTGTAAGCATCAGTAAATCAAATAAACGGATGACCATCTTATTACATGCCTTTGCGCGCGGTATCTGCTATAAAAAAATTAGCGATTGTCGGCCACAATTACCGATATAATAATAAACAAAGAACGATTTGTGTAACTTGTTCGGTTTCCTAGTATTATACACAAAATTTCATTCACCTCTATCTATTTTAAGATATGAGTGAAAGTAGTGTTAATTTTTCAATCAAAATTTATTGTGCGAATACTGCACAATTTATAACCCTATTTTTCGTTTGGCAAATAAATAAACTTTACGTAATTGCTTTGCAGTAAGTATTTTAACACGATCTATTTTATGTAGCATGCTGCACATCTGTCACAATAATTCTGTACAAAACATCGATTCTATGTGTAGCGCAAAAATTATTCGGTGTTTACTATGATATGTTGAATAGTTCAAATATTGCTATGAAATTAATTTTGTGCTCTAGCACCATGCAAGATTTTATTATATACTATAGACTATTCTAACCATAAATCTAACCCTAAGCCCAGTTAGGCCTGACCAAGAAAATTCTGTGTTTTACATTACCCTTCTACCTCCTAAAGGAGGAGGCGATATAAAATTGTTTTTGTTACTCTATATTTTTATTTCGGAGTTTTCAACTATTTTCTCGGAATTTTGCTTGATCACACTAGTAGAAAAAAATCAATAAAGAACGCCACCGGCGTCCTGGTATATCCTGTGTTAAAATCGAAAAAAAAACAAATATGATACAAATTAGATAACAAATCAGATATGTATCAGAATAAATCATATTCTGATTTGTTGCCATCGACTCCACTCAGATATATTTCAGAATAGAATTTTGAAGTATATCTGAGTGGCAACAAATCAGAATATTATTTAGGAGAATTTACAAATAAGGACCCAAAACGAAAATAATTACAAATAATGAAAATAATGAAAATTATTACAGATAAGGGCCCAAAATAATTATGCGCTTTTAAGAACCTATGATTTAGGCCCGATTCGATGATTCGAATATGATTGTAATATATTCATTAATTGTTAACATAAGGAATGTAATAATAATCTATTAGTAATTCGAATATAAATTCAAATGCACAATAAAAATGTATATACGCTGTAAATTTATTCCGATATATTTCTTAAAAACCTGCTTGCTTATAACAAAAACCATGTCAAATACAAAATTACAGATTTACTAACATAAAAATGTCCATTTGGCCCTGGATCGAATTTCCTTCTCCTTATAAGTTCAGAACGAACAAATAAAATAAGTTGTTGGCTATTTGTTTTGCAAACTAAAGAGTTCATACCTTTTTACTATTTCAGCTAACAAGCGCAAAAGTGGCTACATTCATATAGTAAGGCTGATTCCTTATTATCTGACTTGCTTAACTTCTATGGAAGCATTCAAAGCACGTAGATCATACCTTGTAAAGTTTACTGTGCCATTAGTTAAATAAATAGCAGTACTTCGACCTCGTGATATTTAAATTGTATTCGTTTTGAAGTAGGGACCGAGACACCAAAAGCTATTAGGTCACACAGTTAATTTTTCGGTTTGCTCAAAAATCCGTTTCGGTCGGATTTTTATGTTTTCTTTTAATTCTGACTAATGAATAATAACTCTAAAACACCTATTTAATCACGAAATGAGGCAATTAATCAGAATACCATTTTGTTTAATTCGGCTAGCAATTTTGACGGTATATTTAGGCCCTTAATTGTAATAATTTTCAAATATTGGGCCTTTAACTGTAACTATTTTCCCTTTGGGCCCTTATTTGTAATTATTTTCATTTTTGGCCCTTATCTGTAAATTCCCCTATTATTTATTCTGATAAGTATTTGATTGTTATCTGATCTGTATCAGATCTGATTTTTTTCTACTAGTGCTATGCCGTGAAATTTGGATCTATTTGAGTGCAGTCAAAAGAAAATCTGCAATCGGGCTATCAATTATATTTTGTGTTCTCTGAGTGCCATCTAAGAAAATTTATCATCAAACTTTCGATATATTTGTAATGACTTGTTACAAAATATAAATGAAAGCCCGATGATAGATTTTCCCTAGACGGCACTCAGAGAACAAACCGGACACAAATATAATTGAACGCCCTATTGCAGGTTTTCTTTTGACGGCACTCATTTTATGCACGATTTTTATATGCGTGATTTTTAAACTTTTTGGGGCCTTTTTTGTCGGCTTTTTTTTTATGATTAAGTTGAGTATAAATAGATTTTAGTAAGGCTTACATTTTTAAATTGTGACAACGTTAATTATTATTAGGAAGTTGCTTACTTGCCTTCTGGTTAATTTAACTACTGTAACCTTTTTGAGAATGCTAAGGAAGCTATAAAGACAAAATGCCGATTTAAATCCAACGGTGTACAAGAAGATAAGGATAAATTTTCGATAAGAGAAGTGAGTCTTTATAATTATGGAAGACTAATTGGACGACATGATGCTATAAAATGAATAATTTAATATCAGTAGGTGATGATGATTAATGATGTGATGATGGGGATGCTGTTAAGGGTGATGATCTCAAGGACAGTAATGATTTTCGGTAATATTTCTGTAAGGAGGATGATAAAGCAGAGTCCAACCTTAAATGCAAGTGACAGGTTAATAATTCTTGTTCTTTACCACAATGTCTACAAGTAACCAACGTGAATGACAATATTTCGAATTTTAATATGTCGAATTGCATTTACAAGTCAATTCAGTCCGTTGTTACGGAAAATTTCTTCGAAATTTTCCTTGCTTTGCAAATTATCGATATATAGTTCCTTTTTCTATTATATAAA